ACTCGTCGTATTGCGTGAGCTACAAAAAAAATCATCAGGATTCGAAAAGTACGGAACGAAAAAAAAAAAACACTTACATCCAGCGTTAACGTTCTTGAACTGTTTACTTCTTGATCACGGTATATTCCTACCAGAGAGTCGCCACGCTCGTACAATGATCCCTTCAAACTGATCACGACAAACTGGAATGAACTTGACGCCTGGCTCTTGATATAATTCGCCACCTTGGCAACATTTGTATTATCCAGTGCTGCGTCAACTTCGTCCAGAACGAAGAATGGAGCAGGTTGATAGCTACGCATTACGTGTTTAGAGCAAAAGGAAAGGAGAAAACTAAGGAAGGATTTACCTATGTATGGCGAACAACAACGCTAGTGCAGCCACAGTCTTCTCTCCTCCAGACAGCTGTTCCATATCTCGGAACCTTTTCATCGGAGGCATTGCGTGGTATTTGATACCACCACTGTAAGGTTCCTGCAAACGATAAATCAACAATTAGACCAAGCATTCCTCAAAAGTACTGTACCTCTGAGTCATCCAAACTTAGATACGCCACTCCACCCATAGGCGCAGCCTTGCCCTTCGTAAGGTCTTTGTATACTTGATCTATCCGATCAGATATATGTGTGTAGGCAGCCATGAACATATCAGTTCTGGAATGGGGATATTAGCGTGATTCTTTCCTACCGCAACTTCAAAGAACGCACCGCCGCTTTTGAACCTCTTGGAACTTTTCTCTGGCAGCCTTCGAATCCTTGCGGGCCCTTTCTGTTTCAGCTTCGGTTTCGGCAAGTTTCTGTTCCACGTCGTCCAATCTGCAAGCATACCAAGATGAATTAACTCTGGGCGCCTCAAGAAGATACGCGACACCAACCTCTCCATGGCTTTCATGTTCGGAGCCATACGTTCAATTTCCGCATTCAGTTTGGCAATTTGAGCGTCGAATTCGGCTAGAGCTTCCGCAGATCCATCCTAGACGAGTACTGGGTCAAAATCTGAGTAAGTACGATGTTCGAGTACCACACCTCTCGTTCGTCGTCGTCGATATCTGCAAAATCGACTTCAATTCCATAATCTTGAACAGCCTTGGGCCTCTGGGTTCCGTCTTCATCTTCACCGTCAACGTCCATTGCGACTTCCTCACGTAGACTCTGTAAGAAGTTCGGATTTCAGTTATACGAATACCGAAGATAATGATATCCACTCACCTCTTCCATAGGAACGTTCCTCAAGTTACCTGAGAGGAGAGGAAGCTTGATTTCCTCCAGTCGACACTTGCGATAGGTAGCTGAACGTTCCATAGCCAATTTTTCGATCTCGTCATTCTGTTCGCGAAGATCAAATCAGTCACCAGAAGCATAACTGGACAAGATACCCACTAGTGCGCTAATTTCCTTCAACGCCTGGTCCAATCCCTTCGATGCTTTAGAAGCTGTCCGCTTGGCCTGTTCAACAACTTTGGTCTTCTCATCCAAAACTTCCTGAAGCTCCCCCAGTTCTTCTTTGTATGAAGAGATAGTTTCCTCTAACTCAGCCAGCTCTTGCTCCACAGCCTTCTTGCGCTCCTCTAGCTTCGCGAGGTTGACTTCTTCACCTTTTACCAGCTCCTCGAGATGGGATAGACGCTCCCGACTACTTCGAAGGGCTTCGCTTTCGTATTCCGTCCTGAGAAGACACATCTGGTCAGACCTCGGGCCGACAAGAGCGTGGCGTATACGCACTGATGAGTTAGCCGAGCGATCTGATTATCATATCTCAATCGAGCCTCGCTTTCCTCTTGAGCCAACTTCAGCTGCCGTTGCTCGAATTCACGGATATTGGCTACACGGATCTTTCTGCAGAAATCCGCAAAGATTCTGTCTTCCTCGGTATTTACTGCTGCCGAGAGGGAAGCAATCTCTTGCTGAAGCTTGTCATAATCTTTTTGGGCCTGCAAAAAGAATTGAGACAGGGAATTGAAAGAAAGCAGAGTTAAAAATCGCCCACCTTCTTCAGCTCCGGTCCGTTCTTTTGTTTCTCCCGCTCTAGATGCTTAAGTTCCTCCTTGAGACCACCAAGCCTCGTTTTGCACGCATTCTAAAAAGGAATCATCATACATAAGTAGTCGCCCTCGATGCAAAATCAAGTTTCAGTCACGAACCAGTTCATCCCTTGCGATGGTGATGTTAGACTCAAGTTGGGAGATATCAGCAACAAGGGTCTCGTCCGTCTTGCCTCTAGGTTTCTGCTTGCTCAAGTCCCTAAGCTTTGCTAAGAGCGAGTCTCTGGATTTCTGCAGGCCCTGAACATCCTTTTCGTCCCATTTTTTTTCGCTTCCATGAGTACTCCGTCCACCAGTGATGAGACCGCTCTTATGAATGATCGTGCCCTCCAATGTCACGGCTAAGATATTTGTATTTGTGTTAGTAAAAGCTAAGAGAATCACAAATCGTGAAGAACGGTCATACCTTTGATCTCCTGGCCTTTCTCATAACATACATATTTCGCCACCTCCATGGAATCACAAACGAGCGCATTTCCACAGGCATGATGCATAGCGCGTTCAACAGCAGGCTCGTATTGGATAACATCCACAGCTAGTCGTGCGCCCTTGGCGAATGACCGAAACTTGTCGTTAACTGGTTTGACCTGGATGGTGTCAAGTGGGATGAAGGTTGCTTGACCTGCGCGTTGGTTTCGCATGTACTTTGAATAAATGGTTGGCATTACTAGAAAAAGAATGTTGATGGAAAGATCCTACGTACCTCTATACAATCAATCGCCGTCTTCTCTTCGTCTACCACTACGGCATCGATGTTTCTCCCTAGAACCACTGAGACAGCCGTTTCATACTTTCGCTGCGAAGGTTTGCACAGTTCGATAACCCTTCCTCGTACACCTGGACTTTGTCTAAGTGACATTTATACAAGTAAGCGCGGCATCATTACCTGGAAATATTTTCTGAAGGCTCGATATCGTTTCTTTGAGCCTCCGTTCTCTCTCCGACTCGTTTCTGTCTACACCGGCTTGCAATAGTTGCTGATACACACTCTGAAGCTTTTCGTTGGCCTGAGCTTCCAATTGCCTGCAATACATATCATTCAATCGTAAGCGTTCAAGCTATCTCTGGTCCAGAAAAACCCACGATATCTTTGTCCGCTCTGATTGCTGATTCTCCAGCTCCTGCTTCTTGGCGTTCAATTCGTTCTGCAACTCGGAAATCTTTTCCTCAAGTTCGGCCTTTTTCGTGGTTTGAGTAGCAATCTCCGAGGTACGAGATTCCTGCTTCTCCTCAAATCCCTGCTGCCTCTCTTTCAGCGCGTTCAAAGCGCGACCACTTGTCTTTTCCTCGCGGGTCAACTTTTCCAACTTCTGTCGCTCTTCGACAGCACGAAGATTGGCCTTTGTTTTACTACAGACTCTACTGAGCAGCTTAACGCAAAAGGTTAGGGGAAGACGTACAGGCTTCGATATTCTTCTAGGCTATCCTCACTAAGTGCCAGATTGTTCTGAGATGCCTTACGCTGGGCCTCTGAAGAGAACATGATAAAAATTATCGCGTCCGCGGTTTTGGGGAGCACGAACCTTGTGCTTTATCGGCATCCTTTTTCACCTTGGCCAATTCAGTCTGGAGGTTCTTGACTCGATCCTCCAAATCAGTTTGAGTTTTGACCACTTCTTGTTTTGTTTTACCGGCGTTGTTCATTTTACGAGTAGAGTGGGTGATTTGGGCTTCGACCGAGACGAGATCAGGCCTCTATCAACCAGAGCATTAGGGCATAAGTGTGCATGTTAAAGGACTATCATACCTTCAAATCCAAAGACTTTTCCCCTTTCTTGATCTTCTTCTCCATCTGCATGACGCTTGTACGAGCCCTTGCCTGGTCAGCCCTGGCCGCGTCCAATGCCTCTTCATGAACGCGTTGCTCCTCACGCTGTCGAGACAAATCTTTATCCTTTGTTCGTATTTCGTGTGAGTTTCGTTCAATTGATTCCTCGATGTGGAACAGCTTAAACAGGATTCTATGCAGAATGAGCGCGTCCTAAGCCAATTCAAAAGGTCAAAATTTTCCGCAAAAGACACGAAAGGTATATGAGCACGGACTTTTTCTTGTTCCATCGCCTCAAATCTCTCGGCTTCTCCCTTCTGCTCCTTGTATTGCTTGATCTCACCCGCAATTCCGCGTCGTTTAGAAAAGTTGAAAGTCGCGTTCTCGGTGGCCTTGTCCAGGTCTTCCTTGGCTTTATCGTACTCTCCTGCCAGCTCTAGACTTCCACTGATTTGTTCTATAAGCTTCGAAAGTTCGCGAGGAGACTGCGAGGCCACTGCTTCGACGTCCCCTTGAAAAACGAGGAAGTTTTTCGCTTTCACCAGAATGTTGTGCGACACGAGAGCGGCGTTATAGGCTGAATATGTTACTGTGCGGTTATTAAGCTTATATTCCGAAGCTCCAGTAGTGGAAACGCTTTGAATAAATTCGTCAAAACGAGAACAAGATATAATATAGGTCACTCACGTCCTTTGGAATGTCCATTCCTTGTCTTCAGCATCCAAATAAACTGCCGACACCCATGCCTTTCTCGCTGTGCCTTCGCCTTCACCCTCCTCATCGTCTTCATCGTCCACTGCCATAGAGCCATCCGGATTCTCTCTCGCTAACCGCCGACCTCGATAAACTAGATCCTTCAGCTGGGAGCTTCGCAATTGAGCACTTTTAACACCAAGGACGAATGAGATGGCGTCCATGAGATTGGATTTGCCAGCGCCATTGGGACCAATAACGGAGGTGAAGTTCTTGAATGGACCGATTGTTTGATGACCTCTGGTAGAAACTGTTGGTAACAGGCGAGAATAAAAATCTCGAAAATGCATACCGATAAGACTTGAAGTCACAAACCTCTATACGAATTAGAGGCATGGCGGTCGTGAAGAATGTTTGGAATTTGTAGACACGTGCAGCGCGTTTCGTCTTACAGGTTCAACAAGGCCTCATATTCAATGTTCATCGGCTTTTACGCAAGGGCGTATGGTCTAGAGGTATGATACTCGCTTTGGGTACTTGATTTGAATCCACTGCGAGGGGTCTTCGGTTCGAATCCGGATTCGCCCCATCTATGAGATTTTTTATCTTCGCATTTTTTTTTTTTTTCCTTTTTCAAAATTTTTCTATTCGGACTAGAGCATGATTGGATTTCAAATCCAGAGGTCAAGCGTATTTTACATTACAAATTACATTTCAATGCGTACGAATGTTTGTCAAGAAATCCTACAACTTTGCAGCCGGCGAAGACTTAACAATGTACGCAATTCCACCACCGAGAGCATCCTATTACAAATCATGGGTTGAAGTGTCTTGATGATCTCATAAAGACAAACCTCACCTTTCCAGTCCTCAAATTTTTCGTGACAAATGTAACCTCAGTCGTTCCATTAGGCCCGGGACCTACTTCCCAAATTTGCGTCTCGAGCGCATCTCCTGGTTTAACAGGCGACGTGAATCGCACACCGAAGAATTTGAGCGAGTCGGGTTTGTTGCCACCAATGGCTTTGAGAAGAGCACGAGCCGCGAATCCGAAAGTCGATAACCCGTGTAATATCACACCACCAAAACCAGCGGCTTTACCAATTGCAGGATCTAATGATACGCACGTAAACCGTCGTATCTTGCTGAATTCTTTTGGAACACATACCGATATGAAGAGGATTGTAATCTCCTGAAAGTCGGTATACAAGAGCCTGACTGGGTGATGTCTGATCCTTGTATACCCAGTCTGGCTTTCTGTTTGGGATAGGCTTCGCTTGAGGAGGCCCGGCAATCACTTTAGTAAATTTGTCCCCGGTAATCTTCATTCCTAGATTGAATGACGAACTCTGCTCGTGCGGAATATAAGCGAGTCACAATAACAGCATTGGAGGTCAGACGCACGTATAGTTTCGCATACGGTACATTTTGAGGGTCGACAAGGACGTTCTCGGCTGTAAGAACGACGCCACTCTCTGGATAGACATGGTCAGCATATCTCCAGTCATGTCGAAACTAGAGCATACACACTGTTCTCTGATATACCTGTGTATCTCGCCTTCCATTTCCATCCAGGACCGCCAGTGAGAGGTAAAGGCTTGAGTATTTCGATGGATTGAGACGCGTGAACCTATTTTTTATCTCCAGAGTAAGACCAGTAACCAGTGCTGTTAAATGGCATCTGCTACAAACAATCTTGTTGGGATCCACCGGCGGCATTCCGGGCAGCTTGTCCCCTCTCATTCTGTCTGCAAATACATTTAATTCTTCACTATCGCCCTTGAACGTCAAAACAACAGGATATGTAGGGAATGCTGCGAATTTAGCGTCTGCAGGGACTTGGTTGGACTATGCTGTGACGTCTGGGCTATTGAAGACGTACTCAATTCTAAATGATGGATGTCAGGCAAGCTAGAGAATTCTAAGCACAAAGAGAACTGACCGTAAACAAAAGGAAGGTCCTCTTCAGCTTCATTTGCTCCAATTCCCAACGCATAAAGAACCAAATCACGTTTAAGCCAAGTTACCTGCAGGTCCGTGAGAAGCCCGTCGCGCCAAAGTGTTAAATGGAGCTCACTGGCTTGTCTGGTAGCTCATACCCCACCACTTTTGAGATCTCTGAGGCAGACATTTTGGTACGGTAACGATGCAGTGCTGGGGGAAGGATGGAGAACAGGAAGATGAATGCAACGCTCACAGGATACGGGGAAGTTTCGGTTATAACGTGTTCCGGATCCGTTTTACTCACGCTTGAACGCGCTCAATGTGATTTAAACGCGTCGGCGGACGCGTCGCGTGTAATTGAAAATCACGACCCATTTGGCAGCAGGGAAAAACATAGCTCTTTCTATCACAGAAGATTGACTAGAAATACATACATCCGTGCAAATGAGTCTACGACCAGTTCAAAGTGCAGCCATGATGGCTGGCGCTTTTTCAATGTACGCAATACCTCCTCCAAGGGCATCCTACAAATTGTGATTCAGAGGGAGAAAGCTTCCGAAACTCAAAACAACGTACCTTGCCACTGGTCAAATTCTTGGTCACAAACGCGACTTCAATCGTTTCATCGGGTCCGGGACCGACTTCCCAAGCATGCGTCTCCAAAACGTCTCCAGGCTTAACGGGAGAAGTGAACCTCACACCGATAAACTTGAGCTTTTCCGGTTCATTATATGCGATAGCATTTAGCAAGGCTCGGGCAGCGAAACCAAATGTGGCCAGACCATGCAAAATGGGACCTCCAAATCCAGCTGCACGGCCGACTTGAGGGTCTGCAGGACAATAAGGAAGAATACAGGTTAAATACATGAGCGGAACAAGCGTAAGAATTAGAAACATGTTACCAATGTGAAGAGGATTGTAGTCTCCCGAAAGCCGGTATAGAAGAGCTTGTTCAGGATCTGTCTTTTGGCGCGCCACCCAGTCTGGTTTCTTGTCCTTTGGAATGGGTTTAGCTTGAGGGGGTCCAGCGATCGACTTGGCAAAGCTCTTTCCAGTTATCTTCATTCCAATGTAGAAGGTCGATGCCTGCGTAGATCAGCCAAAATGAGTAATCATTTAAGAATGCGCGACTGGTTTCCGGTAGTGCTTACATAGAGTTTTGCATAGGGAACGCCTTGGGGGTCAACAAGGAGATTTTCAACCGTAACAACGGCACCGCTCTCTGAACGTAGAGTAAGACTTTCGAGATGATGATGAGAATGTAAAGAGAAAGAACTCACTGTTCTCAGAAACACCGGTGTACTTCGTCTTCCACTTCCACCCATCACCACTTGCGACAGGTAGAGGTTTTAGGATTTCAATGGATTGTGAACCATGGACCTAAGCAATAGAGATGAACGTGATTTCGCGGGAGCAGGGTTCTTAACACACCAATTTACCCAGGTCCGGTTTGGGCAACCCTGGAAGGTCATCCGTTTTTGCAAAGTCGGCGAATAGGTTCACTTCCTGGCTATCGCCCTTGAAGCCCAAGACAACTGGGTAGGTAGGGAAAACAGAAAAAAGGGAATCTAAAGATATTCTCGCGCATAAGGGATCCGCGCAGTCTGTGCTACACTCGATCACTTACCAAGTTCTGAAATGTGCTCGTCGTGAGTTCGCGAGTGTGAAGGACACAAAGAAGACGCACCGTAGATAAAAGAAAGATCATCTGCACTGTCCTTTGCACCAATTCCAAGTGCGTAGAGAATAACGTCTCGCTTGAGCCACGTTACCTTGAATACGATTAAGCAACTGATACACGAAGAGACGAACAAACTCACTGGGCGGTCAGGGAGTTCGTATCCTATTAGTTTCGAGATTTCTGCAGCCATATGTAGAAACGGCCTACAAGAGTGAAGGGATAATGATAGTGGTACAGAGACAAAGCCTGGATCAGTTCATACGGCATATACTAGAGGCTCGGTCTTCACCTCGGGGACTCGAGAAACTGATTTGGACCGGCAATGAAGGAACACCGGTCAATTCAAGAGTACACCTTATTGCTAGTGCCTATAGTCAAGCTAAATCAGGACTAGAAAATAACATTATTAAATCTATTTCTATAAAATTGTCGCGACGCGTCGAGTGCGGCGTTACGCGTTAGCGGTATGCTTTCACAGTCATAGTCAATTGAATAAGGTAGTACAGTAGCAGGCCAACAATCCTAAGGACTACAAAAACTGATCCAAGATACAAGTACAATGAGGTAGGGCACAATATTTTAGCGTCTTATCCTCTTCACATTCGCACCATCTTCTCGATCCGAGTTGAATTGTTTTTTCGTCGTTCCTCCCTGAGCGGTCATTAATCCCATCCCCGGCCCAAGCTGTCTATCGCGAGGCACTTGAACAGAGCTGGATAAAGTCCTGTTTGAGGGTGAGACGCAAATTGCAATGGGTATCAATCAGGGCAAACCTCATACTGTCCGCGGGCCTCTTAATCCCAATACCCTGCTGCTGGACCTGCGATTTGTTCAGTAGTCAAAGAATGTTACCAGTGCCAAAAGTGATGTAGTTTACCATTTCCGGGGGGAAGGAGAACCCCCCCATTCGACGTGGCCCAGATGTGGAAGGCGTAACATTGGTAGATTCTTGGAAGTGAGGTGTTGTACGACTATAAACAGTACTTGAGCTGGCCCGGAAATTGGCAGCTTCTGACGTCCTCGGCGCGTTAGAAGAATGTCGCTGAGGTGTGTGATGAGATGTCCGTTGCGCGTCCGAATTCTCATTGGAGGAAGATGTATTCGATACTTCTGTCTGGGCCCGTTGAGGCTTGAGCTGATCTGCACTTGATGTTGAAATTGGGAACTGGCTATCTTCACTTCCCCCACCTCTCAGCCCTTCCTCAAAATCAATAGGTCTTCCCATATCTACCTCGGCCAAGTTCACCGACGCAAAAAAAGCATCATCTTCCGAACCGTAGGCAAACGAATCATCCCCTCCTGTCCCATCTTCGAAAGACTCGTCAGGAGGTGCTGGGGCTGGTGCAATATTTGCGCGGTTCCCAAGTGGAGAATCTGCAAAAACGACCTGGCGATTATTGGGTACAACTGGTCCTTGAGGGCGAAGTATAGACTGAGGGGCAGGTGTTATCGGAGTATTTAAGCCATGAAGAATGGCTGCCGTGCGAGCGGCAGACCCTCGAGAGGAAGTTCCAATACTAGGAGTGGAAACAATCGTGTTTGGGGTAGGAACAGTAGGCTTCACTGGCTTCGCTGAAGCACCGGATAAAGATGATTCCTCTGAACGGACCTCCTCGCGAACGTGAGGAGGAATAGAAGATATGGGTTTCGGAGACTTTGATTCAGATTTAACAGCGGGAGGAGGCGCGTTAGTGGCGGATATAGCAGGTTTGGGAGAGTCCGCTGCTGCCGAACTAGGACCAGCTTTCGGGGTATCGTGAGTCGTATACTCTGGTCTTCGATGAAGTTTTTCTTTGTCAAATTTCGGCTACATAAAGGGCTATAGTCCTGCTTTAGAATGGGAAGTTTCGGTAACGCACCGGAGTGACCTTTACTTTAACAATCTCGTTCGTGTACTGCTTATCATATAGACAATTCCCCAACAGATTGCCAAAGTTACGCAGCGAGCGCTTCAGGGCATCTG